AAAACAAATTCCCGATCTTGGAAATTCAGGAAACGGATGAGGACGGCTCTGTGCTGGTTCAGTTTTGGTGGTGCCTGGGTGCGGTGAGCCCTCCCAATGGTGAAGGACCTATCGGTCTCTAGCCAACGCGGCAGCGTCTCCCGTACAAACTCCAGCAGCGGCCGCTGACCCTCAACGCTCTCCCGGAACCCAAAAAGGCGAAGGTTCTTCCTTCGGCCTCGATTCTCCAGGCCGCCGGTCTTTGCTTCCAAGTAGGATATTCGTTTCAGGGCTTTGGTAAGACTAGCCATACTAGTTTCTAAAAGTTCCTCCGCCGACATGATTCTGTTTTCAGCTTCCTCCAGTCTAGTAGCAGTAGCAGTAACATTTTGCTTCACCTCTGCAATGTTTTTCTCCAGAGAGGCGATGGACTTGGTCATTTCCCCTATACGTTTATCTATGTTGTCCAGTTTGTTTCCAAATCCACCAAACTCTGAATGCAACGACCGAAGTTCAGCTAGCACCGTGCTAAGATCACACGTGCTATCAATGCTAGCGGCCCCCTCTTTGTCTTGGTCTGCCACCGATATATCAGTTTTAGCTGGTTTTTGGGAACCGCGTTTTCGCGTGAAAATATCACAGTCCTTGTGAGCGGTCGGTTTTGACATTTTCGGATCCAGTTTACGTTTCTAATCTTGAGTTCTTTCAAAGTTTTGGTGCAGGCCACACGGAGCATCTACTTTAAGCTGCCATCTTGGCTTGCAGTTCCACAGCGCCCCCAACATAAGCATTTAGAAAAAAAAAACTGTTTACAAATGTTGAAAAAATAAAATACAAGCAAAAATATATAGAGCTTTTTCCCTTTTGTGAAAAAAATAAAATAAAATAAAGTTTATTGAGCATGCATCAGGATAAAATAAAGTTCAGTTCTTTAGCAACGTTGCTACCCCGGGTAGTGTTGTGTATGGATCTTATCTGTAACCCAAGATGGATTTTCCGGATTGTGAAGGTTCTTCTGTGAAATGATGTCCTGGATGGCCATACCGTTTACACCTGTCCACAGTTTGCATGGGCTCGGCTCGACATCACGATCAAAGAATCCTGAGTCACTATAAAACCACTCGGGCTTTCCACAAGCCATTTCCCAACAAGCGGTCACCTCGGTCTCTCACTGGGATTTCCACAGATAATTCTCAATGAGTGGTCACTTCTGTCACTTATAGACAGGTTGTAAGGTCCACAGTTTGGTCGGTCAGTGCACGTGTAAAGAGCATGCCTCAGAATATAGAGAAAAATGACCAAACCACATTGGTTAAATTCAACTCAGTAAAAACCGAGTGCCCTCTGCTGGACCTTCCCGGTATTACAACATAATTACAGATATGGGTTTAGTAGCCTAATGTTTCATGTGGGTTACATATTCATTTGAGGAAATGTGGTCAGTTTGTCCTCCAGCAGTCTAAGCCAACAGCAGCACAACTAAGGGACAGCTCAGGAAACTCAAACCAACCCCAATTATAGGATTTATCAAAAATGAAAGTCTTAAGCCCAGTCTTAAAACTGGACAATGTGTCAGTCTCATGGACAGAAATTGGAAGTTGGTTCCACAAGAGAGGAGCCCGATAACTGAAAGATCTTCCTCCCATTCTGTTTTTGTAAACTCTAGGAACCACAAGTAAGCCTGCAGTCTGAGAGTGAAGTGCTCTGTTATGAAAATATGGAACAATAAGATCTGTAATGTAAGATGGAGCTAGGTTGTTGAGAGCTTTGTAGGTTAGAAGTAAGATTTTGAATTCTATTCTGGATTTGACAGGGAGCCAATGGAGAGAAGCCAAAACTGGAGAGAGATGATCTCTCCCAGTAACTCCAGTTAAGACTCTGGCAGCAGCATTTTGGATCAACTGAAGACGTTTTAAAGACGTATTTGGACACCCAGATAATAAACCATTGCAATAGTCCAGTCTGGACGTGACAAATGCATGGACCAGTTTTTCTGCATCATCTTTAGATCAGATGTTTCTAATGTTAGTGATATTACGCAGGTGGAAGAAGGAGGTTCTAGTAACGTTTTTAATGTGGGGGATAAAAGACATGTCCTGATCAAAAATAACACCAAGATTTTTAACATTAGAGCTGGAGGACAGATTAATGCATCTAAGGAGGGAGAAAGACTGAAACATTCATTCCTAAGGTGCTCAGGTCCAAAAACCAAAACCTCAGTCTTGTCTGAGTTCGACAGGAGAAAATTAAGAGTCATCCAGGTTTTTATGTCTTTAAGACATGCTTGTAAGTTGTTCTGTCTCCTGTCTTTTTGTCCATGTCCTCCTGCTTTTTCTAAATCCACAAAGACACAATGGAGTTCTTTCTGACCCTCTCTGTACTTCTCCATCAGCACCCTCAAAGCAAAGATGGCATCTGTGGTGCTGTTTCTCTGCATGAAACCATCCTGCTGCTCACAGATAGTCACCTCTCGTCAAAGTCTAGCTTCTATAACTTTCTCCTAGATCTTCATTGTGTGACTCAACAACTTAATTCCCCTGTAGATGCTACAACTCTGTCTGTACATCACCCTTGTTCTTAATTATTGTTGTTTTGGTTAAAAACAAATATTTGTTGGGCAAAAATGTAAAAAGAAAACATTTTAGTCCTCGGCTGCTCTCAGTTCTAACGACCAAACAGAAACTGAAACCTGTCGGTCTCCACCTTCAACCTCACCAAAGCTACATTTTTGCTTCTTTAGGGTTAATTAGCTATGGCAGCCATCTTTAATCAAGTTAATGAGCTGTATACATACATCCAAGAATTTATTGATTAAAACTGCAGTAAAATTTGAGGCTGGTAATAATAACAATAATAATAATTAGTCTCACAGTAGGTGAGACTATTTGTGTTGCCATTTTGTTTGTTTATTAAGATTATTAGAAACGTTTAATGAAACCAGCAAGTCTGGCTCAGAAATCTCTCCTGATGTTACTTTATGGGTCAGGAGATGAAGAGTTTACGTCCACATTATGTGATCTGAAACCAAACTAAGAGCAGAACATTTAATAAAAGTTCCATTTAGAGAGAAATGTGTCATTTTTATCTGCAGACTAAACAGCAGAACCTTCCAACAGAATGTCCGCCTCACTCCTGCTCACCTGAGGTTCACCAGCTCCAACATGGTACTGATCAGCTCCTCCGACAGGTCCACGTTGTAGAGGACGAGAGACGCCAGCCTGTCCTTCCACTGGGTCAGAAAAGATGTCCCCAGTAAGTGCACGTTGGACAGATCCAGAGACGTGATCGATCTGAGGGGTCTGAGGAGAGTCTCCACATCCACCTTGTTGGGCAGGCCCCCGAGGTTCAGCAGCCGGAGGCGGTTAAAACCCTGGAAGCTAAAGTCCATCTCTAACGCCTGTCTGGAAGAGGGACTGTCCTCGTCCTCGTCCTCCGTGTCCTCATTACAGGCAAGCGGAGCTCCGCCCTTCTTATAGAAGATGTCGCTGCAGCTGAAGAGACTCAGGGACACCAGTGTCTCACGGAAACAGGCGAGAGTCTTCAAGCTGACAGACGACAGGCTGTTGCAGCAGGTGAGACTGAGCTCGATCAGGTCCTGGAGAGACAGGAAGTGTTTTACTGAACCATAGAAAAAGAAACTGAGTCCGCATTCAGCTAAAATTTCACTCCTGAGAGGTTCTGTCACCAAAACTACAAGACAAGAAAGACTGCACAGGAAACAACAGCTGAAAGTTGCTGAAGAAGCAGATATTGCTAAAGAAGTGCAACACGAGCTAAAAAATAACAGCAGCAAAATTTAGATGGAAGCTTAAAGGACCAGAACAGCAGCTAAAATAAGCAAAACAGAGCCTAACAAAGTAGAGCCAGGTCCTCTGGACAGATTCATCTTTGTTGAAACGTTTCATCTTTTATCCAAAAGCCTTCTTCAGTCTGATGAGCTGCAACTAACTCAGTCTTATACATAGACTTTCTACTTTCTCACAGTGGATCAACCAGTTTGTTGTTGAGTCAATTTGTCTGCTGCTTCCTTAGATAGAGAACTTTACTAATTGGCTTTTCTATGTATATGTATGTTCCTGTAAAGTGCCCTGAGACAACTTGTTGTGATTTGCTGCTATAGAAATAAACTGAAATGAATTGACATCCGGGCAGCACGGTGGTGCAGCTGGTAGAGCTGCTGCCTCTCAGCGAGCAGGTCCCTGGTTCAAACCCCGGTCCAGGGGCCTTTCTGGGTGGAGTTTGCATGTTCTCTCCGTGCGTGCGTGGGTTTTCTCCAGGTACTCCTGTTTCCTCCCACAGACCAAAAACATGCATGTTAGGCTGATTGGTAACTCTAAATTGTCTCTAGGTGAGTGAGAGAGTGAATGGTTGTTTGTCTCGTTTGTCTCCATGTGTCCCTGTGATGGACTTGCGACCCGTCCAGGGTGTCCCCCGCCCCTCGCACAGTGATTGCTGGACATGGGCACCAGCGACCCCCGTGACCCAAAATGGAATAAGCGGGTAAAGAGGATGGATGGATGGATGGATGGATGGACGGACGGATGGACGGATGGAATTGACATCCAGAACTAGCTGTTGACATGATAAGGGAGGACAATTAGTCTAAGGTTCAAGGTGACGTTATTGTCATTCACACCTCATGTGGTACAAGAAGTGGAACAAAATTGTGCACAGTAGTCACTCGCTACATCGCGGTTCATCGCCGACTCGCTCTATCGCAGATTTTCAAAGAAAGATTGGACATGACACACAAATGGCTGATTTATGGATGAGCTGCAGGATCAGCATGAATTTTTATTTAAAATAATCTGCAGCAGAAGCTTCCTCCTGCAGCGTGTCATATCTCCATTCTGCAGCGGAGAAGTGGGCGTGACCGAGAGCACTGGCAGAGATCAGCCGAGGCAGAGAGAGGGAAATCACGACACGCTGTGCTGTTTTAGAGCGTTTAGAAACATTGTTTAGAATATTGCAACAGTGGGAAGGGTTTAAACGCCTGCCATATATATCAGTCAGAGAGTCAGAGTCAGAGTCAGAGTTTCTTTATTGTCATTCGCACCTCATGTGGTACATGTGGTGGAGCGAAATTATGTACACGGGGTCCCAGTTACATCCAACAATAAAATGTATAAGAAAAACAGTAAT